CAGCCTCTAAGGCTTCTAGTCATGATATTCCAGTACATGTCATCAAGTCATTGGGGCGTTGGAAGTCATCTGCTTTTTCTCTGTACATACCTCAACCTGTGCTAGAAATGAGGTCAACTTTTGTTAAACTGTCATCTTGAGGTATATTCCTTGTATTATGTTTTCATGTATTGAATAATATTCTTTGACAAGACACTTCTATTTTGCCCACTTTATTACTGGCCTACCACATACATCGGTTTCGGCACACTTCAACTGACTTCTGGTCACATATACATGGTACATCATAACACTGTACACGTTAACATTACAATGATTGCTCCGAACACAAATGTGAATGTTTTGCCTGGGTTTGTGAGAGGGGCATGTGGAACCTACTTAAGGGACTCCCCCCTTACCTGCATCACTGTGGAAATCTGACACTCAGCATGCCCCACCCGCCACTCCCTTAACTCTTTTCTCTAATAGATTGTGCCTACTTTATTACCGGCCTTTCGCATACGTCGGTTTCTGCACACTTCAACCGACTTGGTCATATATATATATATATGGTACTTGAAAACACTGTACACGCTAACATTACAATGATTGTACCGAACACAAATATATATATATACAGGGAGTGCAGAATTATTAGGCAAATGAGTATTTTGACCACATCATCCTCTTTATGCATGTTGTCTTACTCCAAGCTGTATAGGCTCGAAAGCCTACTACCAATTAAGCATATTAGGTGATGTGCATCTCTGTAATGAGAAGGGGTGTGGTCTAATGACATCAACACCCTATATCAGGTGTGTATAATTATTAGGCAACTTCCTTTCCTTTGGCAAAATGGGTCAAAAGAAGGACTTGACATGCTCAGAAAAGTCAAAAATAGTGAGATATCTTGCAGAGGGATGCAGCACTCTTAAAATTGCAAAGCTTCTGAAGCGTGATCATCGAACAATCAAGCGTTTCATTCAAAATAGTCAACAGGGTCGCAAGAAGCGTGTGGAAAAACCAAGGCGCAAAATAACTGCCCATGAACTGAGAAAAGTCAAGCGTGCAGCTGCCACGATGCCACTTGCCACCAGTTTGGCCATATTTCAGAGCTGCAACATCACTGAGTGCCCAAAAGCACAAGGTGTGCAATACTCAGAGACATGGCCAAGGTAAGAAAGGCTGAAAGACGACCACCACTGAACAAGACACACAAGCTGAAACGTCAAGACTGGGCCAAGAAATATCTCAAGACTGATTTTTCTAAGGTTTTATGGACTGATGAAATGAGAGTGAGTCTTGATGGGCCAGATGGATGGGCCCGTGGCTGGATTGGTAAAGGGCAGAGAGCTCCAGTCCGACTCAGACGCCAGCAAGGTGGAGGTGGAGTACTGGTTTGGGCTGGTATCATCAAAGATGAGCTTGTGGGGCCTTTTCGGGTTGAGGATGGAGTCAAGCTCAACTCCCAGTCCTACTGCCAGTTCCTGGAAGACACCTTCTTCAAGCAGTGGTACAGGAAGAAGTCTGCATCCTTCAAGAAAAACATGATTTTCATGCAGGACAATGCTCCATCACACGCGTCCAAGTACTCCACAGCGTGGCTGGCAAGAAAGGGTATAAAAGAAGAAAATCTAATGACATGGCCTCCTTGTTCACCTGATCTGAACCCCATTGAGAACCTGTGGTCCATCATCAAATGTGAGATTTACAAGGAGGGAAAACAGTACACCTCTCTGAACAGTGTCTGGGAGGCTGTGGTTGCTGCTGCACGCAATGTTGATGGTGAACAGATCAAAACACTGACAGAATCCATGGATGGCAGGCTTTTGAGTGTCCTTGCAAAGAAAGGTGGCTATATTGGTCACTGATTTGTTTTTGTTTTGTTTTTGAATGTCAGAAATGTATATTTGTGAATGTTGAGATGTTATATTGGTTTCACTGGTAATAATAAATAATTGAAATGGGTATATATTTGTTTTTTGTTAAGTTGCCTAATAATTATGCACAGTAATAGTCACCTGCACACACAGATATCCCCCTAACATAGCTAAAACTAAAAACAAACTAAAAACTACTTCCAAAAATATTCAGCTTTGATATTAATGAGTTTTTTGGGTTCATTGAGAACATGGTTGTTGTTCAATAATAAAATTAATCCTCAAAAATACAACTTGCCTAATAATTCTGCACTCCCTGTAATTAAAAAAATATTATGTTTAATATTATGTTTGCTTACTATATACTATATGTATGTATATATATATATGTGTGTATGTGTGTGTATATATATATTTATTTATTATATATCCATAATAAGCAAACATAATATAACATTTAAGCACTGACAAAATCTATATATATATATGTGGACAACAAGTAGGCAATACAAAACTGTGAACTGTTTACTGTGGGAAAATTACCAAAACCATAAAATGTCATATCGATGTCTTTAGGAACCTGAGACAGCATTATTTTTACAGAGTACATGGCAGAGAACTTCAGGAGCTCTCCCAGCATGGGCAGCCCTGGGTGAAGCTAGCAAGTGGGACTGTCAGTCAGCCTGGTGTAGGGGACACATCCATTCTGGCGTGTGCCTGTCCTTTCACTAGCTGATCCTGTCCTCTTTTTACTGGTTTGCTCTCCCTGGATTATATACCAAATTGGCAAGTTTGGAATAAAATAGCCAAGCTATATTATAACTAAATTAGAAAATTGGCACTTTTTTCATAAAATTAGAAAAAAAACGTTGGTTTTATTTCATGACACTTGGGGTTTGAGTGACATCACACTGTGGTATATGGATAACAGACAGGTCATGTAATAACAATAATGGTCTTAATGGTAAACCATAAATGTTTGAAGGGGCATTCAGTATGAAATCAGGACAGGGGCTGTCTTAAAGCAGCATGCCAGTAATGAAACTTGCGTCACTGGTAAAACCCAAAGTATGTATTGGAAGGATGTGAAAAGTGAATGCAGTAGTAGTCTCATGGTAGTGGAAGCCTGATGGAAGAATCTAGATGTGGCAGAAGCTGGGAAAATGCTACTTACCAGAATTTATAGAGCCTACCCAAACATTTTGTGGATGTGCATAATCGTCTACAGCTGTTTTTATTGCTTTGGGCTAGGCCTCATTAGTTCCATTGAATAATAATCTTAGTTCTACAAGATACAAAATATATTTTAGACAACATTGTTTGATGACTTTGGTGTGGAGATGCTCAAGTGGACTGCACAGACCATTCAGTGTATCACCTTACTCCAGTGCTAATCCAGCTCAAATACAGTTGCAAAAAACTGTACTGCACTCATAGGAATTTTCAGTTGAAGGAAACACTGTTGCCATTTACTGGTAACAAAGTATCTTTAAAGAAAGTGCCAATGTATCAGTCCACACAAGGACTTTTATCAGTACAAAGCATACTTTAAAAGGTGTGTCTAGGATAAACTTACACGAAAACAATGGTGAATAGAAACTTATGTGATCTAATAGAAACCTTTCTGGTCTTTTTTCCTTTTTTGAGTTAGTATTAGTCATGATGTCTAGATAATAAGCAGGGGCCTCTTCATACATGTGGTATAGAGGGAGTAACAGGGGAAAGTATGAGGCTATTTTGACTTTTGTAAGTCCATATACTACTGACATATAAATGTCACTGTGTCTTTCTCAGTCTAATATAAGGAGCATTATAGACTTAAAGGATCACTATAGGGTCAGGAACACAAACATGCATTCCTGACCCTACAGTGTTAAAACCACCATCTAGCCCCCCTGGGCCCCTCATGCCTCCATAAATATAGAAAAATCTAACTGTATTCAAGCCTGAAGCTGTAACTAGGCATGCTGTTTGACTCAGAAAAACAAGCAGTCTGCCGACATCATCAGAAGTGGTAGCCTGATCCAATCACAGTGCTTCCCCATAGGATTGGCTGAGACTGACAAAGAGGCAGATCAGGGGCAGAGCCAGCATGATTCAAATACAGCCCTGGCCAATCAGCATCTCCTCATAGAGATGAATTGAATCAATGAATCTCTATGAGGAAAGTTCAGTGTCTGCATGCAGAGGGAGGAGATACTGAATGTTTGGATGCATTTTAGGCAGCCATGACCCAGGAAGGATCTCTAACAGTTATCTAAGGAGTGGCCAGTGAAGTTATCACTAGGCTGTAATGTAAACACTGCTTTTTCTCTGAAAAGACAGTGTATACAGCAAAAAGCCTTAAGGTAATGATTCTACTCACCAGAACAAATCCAATAAGCTGTAGTTGTTCTGGTGACTATAGTGTCCCTTTAATTTGTTTCAACCGGTATTTACACTGCCATCTGCTGGCCCCACAGCTCTTTTCCCATATGCATATCATCTCCATACGCATCTGCTAACATAGAAAGTGATTCTCTTGCTTTTTTCAATAGTCATTATTACACTGTTTAATTTATTTGTATCCAAGTAGTCCCTTAAAGACGTTTGTGCTTTTTATAGCTTTGAGTAAAATATAACATGCTTTTACCCAGGAGGTTCATCCAGGGCCGGCGCGTCCATAAGGCGGCACAGGCGGCCGCCTTAGGGCGCACCGGCCCGGGGGTGCAAATGTCCGGGTGACCGGCAGGAGGGAAGTGCACAGCTCCCCTCTCCTGCCAGTCACTTCTTGTAGCGTGGCCGAGCGCCAAGCTGCAGTGCCGCGGACTGTGTGGAGGGGGCGGGGATATGAACGTCATATCCCTGCTCCCTCTGTAGCACACAGTGCGGCTAGTGCCCAGCAGGGGCGGAGCTACCACCGGCCCCCTTCTAATCAGCATGGGAGGAAGTCCTCCCAAGAAGACTAGAGCAGCAGAAGGCAGAGAGGAGGGGGGCTGGGCAGGACCAGCTCCTCCAACTCCCAACTACCTCAGGCAGCACTTTGGATCCCAGGTAAGCCACCCTCCTGAACCTGTTGGTCAGTGTGTCTGTGTGTGTATATATCTGTCAGTGTGTGTATATGTCTGTCAGGTGTGTGTGTATCCATGTCTGTCAGTGTGTGTATCTGTATGTCTGTCAGTGTGTGTGTATATGTCTGTCAGTGTGGTGTGTATCCATGTCTGTCAGTGTGTGTGTATCTGTATGTCTGTCAGTGTGTGTGTATATGTCTGTCAGTGTGTGTGTATCCATGTCTGTCAGTGTGTGTGTATCTGTATGTCTGTCAGTGTGTGTGTGTATATGTCTGTCAGTGTGTGTGTATCTGTATGTCTGTCGGTGTGTGTGTATATGTCTGTCAGTGTGTGTGTATCCATGTCTGTCAGTGTGTGTGTATCCTGTATGTCTGTCGGTGTGTGTGTGTATATGTCTGTCAGTGTGTGTGTATATCTATGTCTGTCAGTGTGTGTGTATATCTATGTCTGTCAGTGTGTGTGTATTCATGTCTGTCAGTGTGTGTGTATTCATGTCTGTCAGTGTGTGTGTATCTGTCTGTCAGTGTGTGTGTATATGTCTGTCAGTGTGTGTGTATATGTCTGTCAGTGTGTGTATATGTCTGTCAGTGTGTGTGTATCCATGTCTGTCAGTGTGTGTGTATCTGTATGTCTGTCAGTGTGTGTGTATATGTCCTGTCAGTGTGTGTGTATCCATGTCTGTCAGTGTGTGTGTATCTGTATGTCTGTCTGTCAGTGTGTGTGTATATGTCTGTCAGTGTGTGTGTATCTGTATGTCTGTCAGTGTGTGTGTATCCGTCTGTCAGTGTGTGTATCTGTATGTCTGTCAGTGTGTGTATCTGTATGTCTGTCAGTGTGTGTGTATATGTCTGTCAGTGTGTGTGTATCCATGTCTGTCAGTGTGTGTGTATCTGTATGTCTGTCAGTGTGTGTGTGTGTATATGTCTGTCAGTGTGTGTGTATATCTATGTCTGTCAGTGTGTGTGTGTATATCTATGTCTGTCAGTGTGTGTGTATTCATGTCTGTCAGTGTGTGTGTATCTGTATGTCTGTCAGTGTGTGTGTGTATATGTCTGTCAGTGTATGTGTGTATCTATGTCTGTCAGTGTGTGTGTGTGTGTATGTATATTTCTCTGTCCGTGTGTCTGTGTGTATCTAAATGTCTGTCAGTGTGTGTGTGTATGTCTGTCTGTTAGTGTGTCTTTGTGTATGTCTATCATTGTGTATGTGTGTATATGTCTGTCAGTGTGTGTGTGTGTATCTATGTCTGTCAGTGTGTGTGTGTATATAAGTCTGTCAGTGTGTGTGTGTATCCATGTCTGTCAGTGTGTGTGTGTGTGTGTATGTATATGTCTCTGTCCGTGTGTCTGTGTGTATCTAAATGTCTGTCAGTGTGTGTGTCTATGTCTGTCTGTTAGTGTGTGCGTGTGTGGCAGTGTATGTGTATATGTGCATATATCTCAGCATTCAAACACCAACACTACACACAAATAAACACCTGCATTTAAACGTCAACACTACATACAAACACACCCCTGCATTCAAATGTCAACACTACATACAAACACACCTCTGTATCAGACACCAAAATTATATATAAACACACACCTACGTTCAAACACCAACACTACACATAAATGCATGCTTGCATTCAAATGAAAACACTACATACAAACACACCGCTACAATCATACAAACATACTCCATACAAACACATGCTTACAGTCAAACACACAAATACTGCTCCATGCTAAATACAATCCTGCAAGCATGGGGAATCGGTAGAGCCCCAGCTTTCAAAGCATTGTTGAAGTTGCCCGACAGATGGGGATCTATCTTTTAGCCATCCTGTGTACATACACAGACCGTCATACAGAGACATACAGTATGTATGTCTCTGTATGACTGTGTGTATGTATTCAAAAGGAATAAACGCAGGCAACACTCCAATAGTACGGCTAGTATATTTATTGATAGGTGAACCACCCCAAAGAAAGTGCGTAGTTTCGGCTCAGCAGAGCCTTATTGCATGAGCTGAAACATCACACTTTCTATGGGGTGGTTCACCTACCAATAAATATACCATCCTTACTATTGGACTGTTGCCTGCGTTTATTCCTTTTGAAGACTTTACTGGTGGATCCAGCGATGTCCGCCTGACACGGAGCATCCACCACTGTTGATGGCCGGAGCATTTACACGGTATCAGTGTGCAGGGTTCTTTGTTTGTCTGTGTATGTATGTCTCTGTATGCCTATCTCTGTTTCTTTTTGTCTGTGTCTGTATTTCTGTGAGTGCCTGTGTCTGTATGAATGTATGTCTGTGTTTGTATGACAATGTACCTGTATGTGTAGATTGTATGACTGTGTTTGTTTGTGTGCCTTTTATGACTGTGTCTGTATATCTTTGTGACTGTGTGCCTGAAAAATTATGTCTGTGTGCTTGTATGGTTGTGTGTCTGTATGTTTGTGTATTTGTGCATGTATGTATTTTTGCCTGTATCTATGTCTATGTGGGAGAAAAAGAGAGATAGATAGGGGCTGGTGGGGAAATAAGAAATACATAAGAGGTGTTGTAGGAGACACACTAAAGGGGGGTGTAAGGCATAAAGGGGCCAAAGGGATAAGACATTCAAGAGAGTGGATATGCAACACTAATGGGGGTAAGAAATTCAAAAGGGGGCTACGAGACACAGAGGTGAAGATGCATTGTTTATTTTTTTTTGGGGGGGGGTGGGGCGTCAAAATGCATCTTCGCCTGTGTAGTCAAAAATCCTAGCACCGGCCCTGGGTAATATTGGCGCAGATTGCTTTTAAAGCACTCAGTCTGTCACTCAGTCAATGACTCAGAGCACTGGTTGCACCGGGGACCGTGAGAGAGCCCTTAAAATGGTCTGCATCTAACCACAAAGCTTCTTCAAGCAAGTGAAGTAGAGGCCAGGTACCTATTTTAGTCTGGGCAAAATTTATCTACTGTTCAGACTCATTGGGTTTTATTGTAAATGTGTGAAAGATCTAATAATTGGAAATGTTGATGCAGGAATATATACGCCCAGACTCTACACAGATTATTGAAAGTAATTTGTAAATTCCATCAAATATTAATAAAAGGAAAATGGGTAATAAGTCAGATGCAGCAAGCAGTGGGGGGTGTGGGGGGAAAGGTCAATAAATTGATGGGCATGAAGAAGAGTTGAGATGTATTAGAGGAAAGAGATTAAAGCACTATAGCACTGGAATTCATGTTTGGGTGTGGAGATTAAAGGTTTAAAACTTATCTTTTCTCCCACGCTGTACCTGTCTAGCTGCGGCTGGCCCCAACTGGTTCACCTCCATGAGATGACTGAGGTCATCAATCTTGTTGATCTCAACCAATACAATGTATTGGGAGGCTATCATGCAATGTATTGGGAGGCTATCATACAATGTATTGGGAGGCTATCATGCAATGTATTGGGAGGCTATCGTGCAATGTATTGGGAGGCTATCATGCAATGTATTGGGAGGCTATCGTGCAATGTATTGGGAGGCTATCATACAATGTATTGGGAGGCTATCATACAATGTATTGGGAGGCTATCATACAATGTATTGGGAGGCTATCGTGCAATGTATTGGGAGGCTATCATGCAAGGTATTGGGAGGCTATCGTGCAAGGTATTGGGAGGCTATCGTGCAATGTATTGGGAGGCTATCATACAATGTATTGGAAGGCTATCGTGCAATGTATTGGGAGGCTATCGTGCAATATATTGGGAGGCTATCATACAATGTATTGGAAGGCTATCGTGCAATGTATTGGGAGGCTATCGTGCAATGTATTGGGAGGCTATCATGCAAGGTATTGGGAGGCTATCATGCAAGGTATTGGGAGGCTATCATGCAAGGTATTGGGAGGCTATCGTGCAATGTATTGGAAGGCTATCGTGCAATGTATTGGGAGGCTATCATGCAAGGTATTGGGAGGCTATCATGCAATGTATTGGGAGGCTATCATGCAATGTATTGGGAGGCTATCATGCAATATATTGGGAGGCTATCATGCAATGGGAGGCTATCATCAATGTATTGGAGGCTATCATGCAAGGTATTGGGAGGCTATCATGCAATGTATTGAGAGGCTATCGTGCAATGTATTGGGAGGCTATCATGCAATGTATTGGGAGGCTATCATGCAATGTATTGAGAGGCTATCATGCAATGTATTGGGAGGCTATCATGCAATGTATTGGGAGGCTATCATACAATGTATTGGAAGGCTATCATGCAATGTATTGGGAGGCTATCATGCAATGTATTGGGAGGCTATCATGCAATGTATTGGGAGGCTATCATGCAATGTATTGGGAGGCTATCATGCAATGTATTGGGAGGCTATCGTGCAATGTATTGGGAGGCTATCGTGCAATGTATTGGGAGGCTATCATACAATGTATTGGAAGGCTATCATGCAATGTATTGGGAGGCTATCATGCAATGTATTGGGAGGCTATCATGCAAGGTATTGGGAGGCTATCATGCAATGTATTGGGAGGCTATCATGCAATGTATTGGGAGGCTATCGTGCAATGTATTGGAAGGCTATCGTGCAATGTATTGGGAGGCTATCATGCAATGTATTGGGAGGCTATCATGCAATGTATTGGGAGGCTATCATGCAAGGTATTGGGAGGCTATCATGCAATGTATTGGGAGGCTATCGTGCAATATATTGGGAGGCTATCATACAATGTATTGGGAGGTATCATACAATGTATTGGGAGGCTATCATGCAAGGTATTGGGAGGCTATCATGCAATGTATTGGGAGGCTATCGTGCAATGTATTGGGAGGCTATCATACAATGTATTGGAAGGCTATCATGCAAGGTATTGGGAGGCTATCATGCAATGTATTGGGAGGCTATCGTGCAATGTATTGGAAGGCTATCATGCAATGTATTGGGAGGCTATCATACAATGTATTGGGAGGCTATCATGCAATGTATTGGGAGGCTATCATGCAAGGTATTGGGAGGCTATCATACAATGTATTGGAAGGCTATCATGCAAGGTATTGGGAGGCTATCATGCAATGTATTGGGAGGCTATCGTGCAATGTATTGGGAGGCTATCGTGCAATGTATTGGGAGGCTATCATGCAAGGTATTGGGAGGCTATCGTGCAATGTATTGAGAGGCTATCATGCAATGTATTGAGAGGCTATCATGCAATGTATTGAGAGGCTATCATGCAATGTATTGGGAGGCTATCGTGCAATGTATTGGAGGCTATCTATGCAATGTATTGGGAGGCTATCGTGTGCAATGTATTGGAAGGCTATCGTGCAATGTATTGGGAGGCTATCATGCAATGTATTGGGAGGCTATCATGCAATGTATTGGGAGGCTATCATGCAAGGTATTGGGAGGCTATGCAAGGTATTGGGAGGCTATCATGCAATGTATTGGGAGGCTATCATGCAAGGTATTGGGAGGCTATCATGCAATGTATTGGGAGGCTATCATGCAATGTATTGGGAGGCTATCATGCAATGTATTGGGAGGCTATCATGCAATGTATTGGGAGGCTCATGCATGCAATGTATTGGGAGGCTATCATACAATGTATTGGGAGGCTATCATGCAATGTATTGAGAGGCTATCATGCAATGTATTGGGAGGCTATCGTGCAATGTATTGGAAGGCTATCATGCAATGTATTGGGAGGCTATCATGCAATGTATTGAGAGGCTATCATGCAATGTATTGGGAGGCTATCATGCAATGTATTGAGAGGCTATCATACAATGATTGGGAGGCTATCATGCAATGTATTGGGAGGGTATCGTGCAATGTATTGGGAGGCTATCATGCAATGTATTGAGAGGCTATCATGCAATGTATTGGGAGGCTATCGTGCAATGTATTGGGAGGCTATCATGCAATGTACTGGGAGGCTATTGCGTAATATATTGGGAACAAAACGCTGCACTGAGCATAGAATTGAATCACTGCATCTCTATGGGGAGCGTTCAAAGAAAGTAGATGGAAGGGGAATGAAAGAAAGTGTGTGTTTTTATTACTGTGTCTGTAGAGTATAAATGTCAGTGTTTTCATGTCAGTGTTTATCACTGTGTTTGTGTCAGTATGTGTGTTTCTGTCAGTGTGTATACTTGATACAAATTGAGTAAGGAGCACAATCGTAAATGTGATAGTTATACTGATATTTAGCTATTTATTCATGTATGTACGTAGTGGGGAATCGTGATGCAGCCTAGTACATAAACTAACCCCATTCAACCCCCCCAATAACGACAGACCACTTAGTATGGATGAAACAGGCCACAGCATTTATCACAAACTAAATTACTGCATAACACATCCATAACTTTGTTTATTAAATCTCTTCTTTCTGTAACCAAAAACGTTAGACATAAATAAGCATAAATTAACATATATACATATATAACTCCACACATAGTGTTATACAGTAACCCAACCGTCCTTGCCAATAAACATACAGTGATTCCTAATCACCACTTCCTCTCACCTCCCCCCTCGTCATAAAAATCATATCTTTCCAACCTTATCAGCCGACCTTATCCACGCTCGATGGGCACGACACCTCAGGGGAGGTTGAGACCTAAAACACTTGTTCATCTCATTCCATATACTTAAACGTAACCCCTCAAACTCAATTGGCAAGGACATACCCCCGGCTAGCTGTGACAAAATAAACTAATAGGGCGGGCGGGAGGGAAGCTGTTTGCTGGCCGGAATCCCAAGTGGCACCGAGGTAAGACCACCCCCACACTAACTTACACAGAACATAATCCCACCCACACATTCCTTCCCATCCAATCCCACGCATCTATCCCCACACTCCTACATGTGCCCTTGTCTGCTTAACTGCGCTATCTCCCCAGGGCCTTTACGCATTTAGCATGTGTATAGATCCAAAACCTTTTCTGGCTGTTGCTGTACTATATTATATGACTTTGTTTTCTTGTTTCATATTTAATGAGATATCCCACTTATGTGCACCCATGTAATAAAGATTTTGTTGTATATATGCATTTACGGTTGTGCTCCTTACTCAATTTGTATTTTGACTGTTTTGGGATTTTTTGGGGATAGAGCCTTATGTAAGCAGCCTATATCTCGTTTTTAGCCCCACTTGGGGCTTAATTATTGCAGTGTACTTGAGTATACTTGAGTCAGTGTGTATTGTGACAAGCCTCGTTATGTGTTCTTGGAGGTGCCTGCTGGCCAGCCTCTTACCAAAAGACTATGTGCCCTTTAAAAAACTATATGAACAGACTTGGTTTGTGGGACTATTTATTTGGTTCAGGAATCCAACAGCCGCATTAACCAGAGTCCACCCTGGAGCTTGTTAAGCCTAATTGCTACTTTGTAGCAATTTCCACCACAGTGTTCTAAGTGTTCGTCTGGGTGGCTGCAATTCCTATGGACGACCATGAAGTGGCGGCCATCTTGTTCACATGAACACAGGCAGCGGTGTTTGGGCATGAATCTCATGGAACTGACACAGGAACTCCTGAACACCGCTGTACTTCCTGCATCACCTGCATTCAGTTCTACAACACTTAGAAAAGCGCTGTTCGGTGAAGACGTTCCCATGAACAAGAGGATCAAGCTTCAGGGTAAGACTATTGACTATGTTCGGTAGTTTGTTCATTTTTAAACTACCGAACTAGACCGACCGCAAGCCCTGATTCTCTGGAACTATTTTGGGCATGGGACCATGCGGGCGGTTGATCTAAATTACGACTTCCAGGAAATTCCTGAACCCCTGAACTGATCTGGGTGATTATTGGATATGTTGGTCATCCATATCAGGGGATGTAACTTTTGTGGGGTTTTCCACAACACTTGCTTGGTTGGGGTCTCGCTGTCCTCCACCCACCATAGACCCAAGACCAGGATCCAGCTTCCAGTGGGTAGACCTCTCCTAGTCCAGAGAGCAAAGCAGGCTGCTCTTACAATAGTAATTGTTGTGATCCAAGGGAGTATAGTGATTATAGCAATCCCTAATCCACCAAACATGAGCCTAGACTTCATGAAGGGTAAAAAGAATCTTAGTCTAATGGTAGCCACAACTGGCCTGTTATGACAGTCCCCATGCAAGGGGCACTCCCCCTTGAACCTGAGAGTAAACCACAGTAGAAATAAATACACAATCACATTGGCTCTCAGGTCCAGGACACTCCCATACAAAATCAGATAATCCCTCCTCTGTGCCTGGGAGATAATTGGATCAGGAACTTGTAACGGACCGTTTCAGCACACAAGGGGTTAAAACTGTTTAGGCGATCGTCCCCTTCCAGAGATGCAGGCACAGCTACTGCAGACACCAATCCGCCGAACAGGAAACCATACGAATGCTGTAAACAGCCGAATAGGAAAAACCATACGAATAGGTTTACACTCCTAGCAGTCAAACTGGAACAGCATACAATAAGCTCCGTGTTGAGGGTCAAGCAGTGAACAGACAGAGCTGTGGGTTTATTGTGCTTATGTACACATTCTTACACATTAGTACCACCCACAGGGTTTTGGAACACAACCAATAAACACATACAATACACTCAGACACTCCCACACAAATTCCTCCCTCTGCATGTGATTCAATTACCTTACACAATGGGTAATGTAATTTAGCACAAGCAAAGAAATACAATTTTTCCACATTATTCATAACTTGAAAAGTATGCATCACATTCACATAAACATTTTCAGAATCAGCATACCCCAAATACAAAAATACATCAAAATCATACAAATTGGTCCAGTGGTTCAAAAGATAGATCGTAGTCCTTTGTGACCACAGGAAGCATGGCTTTTCTGCCCAAAACCAGTTCCACAGAGTCTTCTATCCTGGAGATAATTAGAAGTAATCCAATTATCTCCAAAGACAGAGGCAAAACTCCATTGAACACATGGCAGCAAAAAGACAGTAAAACACAATAAAATACACAAGGTTACATTTATGACATAAAATACAGACATGCAACATATCCCCAGATAGCTCAGATCTGAGCGCACATTATTACTGAATGGCGCTCAGAGCACACACATACAGTTCAATTGCCATGGAGCCAAAGTCTTTCCCATAGTCTTTCATTATACGAATGGGCTCCATGGCATAGCTATCTGGGGTATCACCGCTCAAACAGGGCAAGCACCAAATGACCCGGCTTTCATGTCTTTGCAGGGGAAAATCAAGCCTTTTAACATGGGGCCATAATCCAAAGGCAACAGGCGAGCAACCAGGCTTCTCCAATGCAATGTGGCGAGATTGCTCTCGTCACAGAACTGTACTAATATAATCCAATTATCTCCAAGCACAGAAAAAAAACACTTTTTACCAAACACCCCAAAAGTACCCTAAAAATACATAAAAACCCCACAAAAGTTACATCCCCTGATAGCCCTGATCTGGGTGACCAACATATCAAAAATTCACTCATATCAGTTCAGGGGTTCAGGAATTTCCTGGAAGTCTTCATTTTGACCAACCGCCCACATGGTCCCATGCCCAAAACAGTTCCAGAGAATCAGGGCTTGCGGTCGGTCTAGTTCGGTAGTTTAAAAACGAACAAACTACCAAACAGAGTCAATAGTCTTACCCTGGAGCTTGTTCCCCTTGTTCGTGGGAGCGTTTCCACTGAACAGTGCCTTTCTAAGTGTTATAGATCCGAACACAGGTCATGCTGGAAGCCCAGCGGTTTTCGGGAGTTTCTGTGTCCGTTTTCAGTTCCATGAGATTCATGCCTTAACACTGCTGTCTGCGTTCATGCGAACAAGATGGCCGCCACCTCCTGGTTGTCCATAGAAATTGCGGCAACCCAGACGAACACTTAGAACACTGCGATGGAAATTGCTACAAAGTAGCAATTAGACTTAACAAGCTCCAGGGTGGTCTCTGGTTCATGCGGCTGTTCAATTCCTGAACCAAATATAAAATCCCACAAACCAAGTCTGTTCACGTAGTTTTTTTTAAGGGCCCATAGTTTTTTGCTAAGAGGCTGGCCTGCAGGCCCCTCCAAAAACACGTAATGAGGCTCAGTTCGCCACATGTATGTTTCACTGTATTTGTTTACGTCAGTGTGTTTCTGTCAATGTGTGAGATTGTATTAGTCTTTGTTTGTGTCAGTGTGTTTATATCAGTTTATGTATTTGTGTAAATGTGTTTGTGTCAGTGTGTGTGTGTTTGTGTTAGTGTGTCGTGTCAGCATGTATTTGTTTTACTTTGTGTTTTTGTGTCAGTGTATGTGTTTTTGCCAGCTTGTGTTTGTGTCAGTGTGTTTGTTTCTGCTTCTGTTTGTCTTAGTATGTTTCTATCAATGTTTTTATGTGTGATTGTGTCAGTGCATTTGTTTGGTTTGTGCATTAATCCTGGTATATTCCATGTTTCGGTTCATATTCCACAGTAAAGCGGGAAGGCAGCCGACCTCTGTGTCTCCAAGAAGAATCTAGTCCCATGGCCCTAATTGCATAAGTAATATTATCCTCTCCACACACAATTCAATTAGAGTTAATAAAGATGTGAGAATAGGGGGTTGCCATATGGTTTCTGCGCAGGAACAGCAGACCTGAGCATGAAGATTGATTTGTGAAAGGCCCCTGGAAGCCCAGTGAGTCCCCTCCCTCCCAGGTGGGCATCTGTGTGTCACTTATTACCAAAGGCTCATGAATAGGATTTGATATCATGAATCTGTCTCCCTGGGAGAAATCCCCCTCCCCTCCCCTGCCCAATCCCCTCCTGCCTGCTGTTTGATTTCTGTCTTCCAGTCCATTTGTAACACTTACCCAGATCAAGAGGTCCTGTTTATCCATAGTAGAGAGAAGTACAGGAATGTACATGTCATCTTCCAGTCATTACTCTATCTGTCCTGCCGCCCGCTGCCTGACCCGTCCATGTCTGCCAAATACTGATTATTCAGGGAGAAATGTGCGTATCAGATACAGCATAAAAACTGATATATTGTATAGTACTCCTATTCCTCCATATTATGTGCTCCGTATAACACTCCTATTACTCCGTATAATGTGCTCCGTATAACACTCCTATTACTCCATATAATGTGCTCCGTGTAACACTCCTATTACTCCATATAATGTGCTCCATATAACACTCCTATTACTCCCCTGAAAATATGGGGGGCCTGGGAGATCCCCTGGATATTTTTACTCCAACACAGGACTCCGGGTGAAGTTTTGAAAAAGCGGCTTTAATTCAATATTAAAAAAATAAAAATAAAATGAATATAAATAAGGTCCTACGCGTTTCGTCCCTTTAACAACATAGGGACTTCCTCAGAGACCACAATATTAAAATGCAATTGATACAATACATCCTATTACTCCATATAATGTGCTCCGTATAACACTGCTATTACTCCATATAATGTGCTCCGTATAACACTCCTATTACCCCATATAATGTGCTCCGTATAACACTCCTATTACTCCATATAATGTGCTCCGTATAACACTCCTATTACTCCATATAATGTGCTCCGTATAACACTCCTATTACTCCATATAATGTGCTCCGTATAACACTGCTATTACTCCATATAATGTGCTCCGTGTAACACTCCTATTACTCCATATAATGTGCTCCGTATAACACTCCTATTACTCCATATAATGTGCTCCGTTTAACACTGCTATTACTCCGTATAACAACACTCCTATTACTCCATATAATGTGCTCCGTATAACACTGCCATTACTCCATATAATGTGCTCCGTATAACACTGCTATTACTCCGTATAACACTCCTATTACTCCATATAATGTGCTCCGTATAACACTCCTATTACTCCATATAATGTGCTCCGTATAACACTCCTATTACTCCATATAATGTGCTCCGTCCGTATAACACTCCTATTACTCCATATAATGTGCTCCGTATAACACTCCTATTACTCCATATAATGTGCTCCGTATAACACTGCTATTACTCCGTATAACAACACTCCTATTACTCCATATAATGTGCTCCGTATAACACTGCCATTACTCCATATAATGTGCTCCGTATAACACTGCTATTACTCCGTATAACACTCCTATTACTCCATATAATGTGCTCCGTATAACACTCCTATTATTCCATATAATGTGCTCCGTATAACACTCCTATTACTCCATATAATGTGCTCCGTGTAACACTCCTATTACTCCATATAATGTGCTCCGTGTAACACTCCTATTACTCCATATAATGTGCTCCGTATAACACTCCTATTACTCCATATAATGTGCTCTGTATAACACTCCTATTACTCCATATAATGTGCTCCGTATAACACTCCTATTACTCCATATAATGTGCTCCGTGTAACACTCCTATTACTCCATATAATGTGCTCCGTGTAACACTCCTATTACTCCATATAATGTGCTCCGTGTAACACTCCTATTACTCCATATAATGTGCTCCGTATAACACTGCCATTACTCCATATAATGTGCTCCGTATAACACTGCTATTACTCCGTATAACAACACTCCTATTACTCCATATAATGTGCTCTGTTTAACACTCCAATTACTCAATATAACATGCTCCATATAACACTGCTATTACTCTATATAATGTGTTCCTCATAACACTGCTATTACTCCGTATAACAGTGGCGGTGTTTGGTCGTCGAGTGCATGGAACTAAAATAGGAAACTCGACCCCGAGAACACCGCTTAACTTCCATCCTTGTCTGTGTTTCTTTACATCTTAGAAGAGAACAGTTCAGTGGAATCATTCGCATGGATTAGGTGAACACTATCTATATACCAGCTATGGCATATGTTCAGTTTTTTATACGTTTTCGAACTCCCGAAAGAGACCGACCACCACCTCTTTTCTCCTGGAACTATTTTGGACAGACGCCTCGTGTGCGGTCAGTCAAAACTTTACCCCGGTGGCGATTCGGCTGTGTTCATGGGATCTGAGCGTTTATTAATATATTGGGCGCTCAGGTCCAGGCTATCCGGGAATATGACTTGAGGAGGTACCTGGTTGTTATATGTGCAGACAGGGGGAAATAGGAAACCGCGCCGTAGACAATAAATATGTATACGAACACAAGTATACAGTGATCTATATGCAATTGACTTCAAAAATAAAAGAACATGAAGATAATAGTGCAATATCGCAAGTATAATTATCTGATATATGAGTGCATCAAATATGGTCACACTCACATTTCCCAGAGCTAACTAAGAGCTCAGCTGTTTTTTGGCATAGATGGAACAATCCCCGTCTCAGGATATATACAGCAGGGCACGTCTTGTCAGTCTTGAGCAGGATACAGATATATGTGGAGAGAAAGGATCCAATAGTGCAATATATGTCTTTCCCACACGGTCCTGGAGGACAGAAGCTGATCCAGGGTGGACTTTAGATGGCGAGGCTCCAGTTAAGCTACGGCAGTTGTGGAGTCTGCGGTTATTGTGGTGTCCAGTGCGGTGCTTGTGGTCCTCGGCGCAAGCTAGGAAGCGTCCATTAATGGAAGGTGATCCGTTACAAATGGCATGAGCACTTCCCTCTTTCTACTGCTAATACCTCTCTCTATACAACCAAGCATTCTGCTAGCATTTCCTGCTGCTCTATTCCATTGTCTGCCTACTTTTAAGTCATCAGAAATAATCACCCCTAAATCCCTTTCCTCAGATGTTGAGGTTAGGACTCTATCAAATATTCTGTACTCTGCCCTTGGGTTTTTACGTCCAAGATGCATTATCTTGCACTTATCCACATTAAATGTCAGCTGCCTTAACTCTGACCATTTTTCTACGTTACCTAAATCATTTGCCATTTTGCTTATCCCTCCTGGAACATCAACCCTGTTACATATCTGCGGCAAAAAGACATACCTTACATCAAGACCTTCTGCAATATCACTAATAAAAATATTAAAGAGAATGGGTCCAAGTACATATCCCTGAGGTACCCCACAAGCCCACGCTTTGAATATAATCCATTGACTACAATCCTCTGTTGCCTGTCACAATATTGGAATCCAAACTTAAAGGCTGCAGTTTATTGATAAGCCTTCTATGTGCAACAGTGTCAAAAGCCTTACTGAAATCTAGGTAAGCAATGTCTCCTGCGCCACCCTGATCTATTATTTTAGTTACCCAATCAAAAAAATCAATAAGATTAGTTGGGCATGATCTCCCTGAAGTAAACCCATGTTGTCTCTGATCTTGAAATCGTGCTAGGGCCCCGGGGAGGGGGAGTATCCTGGGATGGGACTCTGTATGGTTGTGTGGTAAACCCCTTGCATGGGGTTATGCATAACAGCCGTGTGTGGCCAATAAAATGGTGTTGTACCTCCAGAGCTGTGTCTCGTCCAGTTCCTGGGGGTAAATGGGTCTCGGTATATTCTAAAGTGGTTTCTGAGTGGCTGAAGGAAGATAATACCTGTGACGGACCGCCTGACACTCTGATTGGGTGCCTCTGCCAATCAATGCTTTCTATCTGTCACCGAGTACCATAAGCACCGCACCAGACACCATAAGCACTGTAGCCCCTTAGCCGCTGCAGCTGGACAAAACTCCTGGATCAAGCTCCCAGTGAGAAGACCTCTACTCCAAGAGAGTATAGCAGGTATCGCAGAGCTAGTGATTATAGCAATCCAAAGAACAATCCCAGGAGCAGGGATTATAGCTGGTATAGCCTTCCTCTACAATCACGAGATGAGGTTCTGTGTTGAGGGTAAACTGGAACTCGTTTATTGGTAGCCACAACTGACCTTATATGCAGTTCCCCATGCAAAGGGCACTCCCCCCTGGACCTGAGAGTAGACTACAGTAAAAAACACAATTACATTGGCTCTCAGGTCCAGGATACTCCCACATAAAACAAGATAATCCCTCCTCTGTGCCTGGGAGATAATTGAGTCAGGGACTGTACTAAACTCAAATATCTCCAGGTACAGAAAACATACATATTTTAAAAACCCTTAAAATGCCTTTAGACACACAAACCCCCACAAAAGTTACATCCCCTGATAGCCCCGATCTGGGTGACCAACATATCCAAAAATCACCCAGATTGGTTAAGGAATTTTCTGGAAGTCATAATTTGACCGACCGCACTCATGGTCCCATGTCCAAAACAGTTCCAGAGAATCAGGGCTTGCGGTCAATCTAGTTCGGTAGTTTAAAAGCCAAACAAACTACCGAACATAGCCAATGTTCTTACCCTGGAGCTTGTTCACCTTGTTCGTGGAAACAATCCCACCAAACAGTGCCCTTCTAAGTGGTGTAGAACCGAATGCAAGCGATCCTGCAGTGACAGACAGCCAAGGGGGAAATAAAAATGGAAACAATAATGGTGCAGTTTGTTCCACAGTGGATAAAAGGTAATAAAAAATAGTAGATACACTCACATTTAATAGAGCTTATACCAGCTCTAGTATGGTAGGCTTGCAGCGGTATGATCCCCGCTTCTGGGATATATGAGGAGTGATCTTGGAGATGGTCACAGGAGCTCAGAGGGAAGATAATAAAACAGCAATAGTGCTCTCAGTAAAATATTGCTAGCATAAAAAGTATAATAAAATATACTCACAGATGATAGGGTAGGCTAACTGCTCTATGACAAGGGCATATGTGGTATGATCCCCACCTCGGATTCTTGGAGTACAAGACAAGAGTAAAATAAAGTAAAAAGCCAGGTAATAGTAATAAAAATTTAAATAAAAGATGATGGTACAAGTATAAAAAGGACCAAACATTTTTAATCCATTGATAAAGCCTATATGGAGAAACGCGTTTGGATATTATAATGCTTTTTAATTATTGTTAATAAATAGATTTTGGTCCTTTTTATACTTGTACCATCATCTCTTATTTACATGAAGTGTAAAAAGGAAGTGCTTTCCCTCAATCGAAACCCACTGTGGGCGTTGTTGAGTCGCAGCTGCCTGCATCAAAGGTGCAAGCACAGCCGCCTTGTAGTAAAGGAGATCAGGGACCCTAGTGCCTCCCTCATCATAGTGTCTACATAGGTGTTTTAATGATACTGGGTTTTTTTTCCTGCCCATACGAACTTTGTTAAATCTGTCTGTGCCTTATTAAAGAAAGACAAGGGTTCTAGTATTGGTAGTAGGCGGAAAATATATTGTAGTTTAGGCAGTAACATAATTTTAAAGGCAGCTGCTCTCCCTACCCATAAAATATACTTCTCTCCAGTCCCGTATTTGAAGTTCTATCTCTTTCCAGATCCTGACATAGTTATTAATAAAGAGGTCCCGAGGGTTTCGCGACAAACAGAGGCCTTGGAACTTTAGGTGCTTGTCTGACCAATCAAATTTATACTTTGACCAAAGAAATTGGGTGGCCGCTCGAGTAAGGTTAATTCCCATAGCTTGGGATTTTGATTTGTTTCATTTGTAGTAAGACACAGCCCCGTAGTCCATCAGGAGTTAGTGGACTGCTGGTACAGATGCTAGTGGCTGGGTTAGTGTGATCAGGACGTCGTCTGCAAACAGACTGAGCTTGTGTTCTTTCTTCCCTATTTTGATGCCATGGATATTGGGCGAGGATCGTATCATAGCTGACATAAGTTATCATGCTAATATGTACAAAAGCGGCGACAGGGGGCATGCCTGCCTCGTCCCATAAGTTAGCGTGAATCTAGTAGAGGTGAAGCCACCGTTGGATACCACCGCCGTTGGTCTATAATAAAGGCCCATGACCGGAGAATGCCAAACTCTACCAGTGCAGAGACCAAGAATCCCCAGCCCAACCGGTCAAACGCTTTTTCTGCATCCAGCGAGAGCAGGAGGCCCTCGGTCCCAGCCTCTCTCATGTGACACAACAGGTCCACCACTGTGAGTGTTATCTGCCCCCTGGCAGCCAGTCACAAACCCCACTTGGTCCATCTAACGGATCACCTGGCTCCCCGACTGGGTACCTCCGTTGAAGGATGCTCCTAGCACTTCCTGAAGACTCCAAGCACTGCAGCAGACACCACAACCACCAAACCGGAGAAGCATACGAATGCTCTCAAGCATATGAATGCTGTAAGCAGCTGAACAGGAAAAGCATACAATCAGCTTACACTCCTGGCAATCAGCATACAATCCAATTCCCCCAATAACGAGACGACACTTCGTTTTAAGGTCAGAACTGAACTTTTAATCACACAACCTTCTTTTAAAGCTTTCTCCCATGCAAGAGAGGGATTTACAGTAATTACACAATACACCAATCATACACGAGTTGCCACCCACACATCCCCTCCCCTTAGTGTGACACATAATCCCATTATGTAAGACACAGTTCCCCTTGTTTTCTGGATGTACCCCTAAACCTAGGAGTATCCCTTTAAATATTACATCCCCTGGTGGCCCTGATCTGGGTGAGACACATATCCAAAAATCACCCAGATCAGATCAGGGGTTCAGGAGTTATGGGGGTTTCAAGTTTTGTGGAGGTCCCTTTTGGTCAACTGAAACATGGCTTTCCAGATCAAACCAGTTCCAGCTAGTCTGGCAGTGTGCCTGGGACAACGCCCTGCTGGAGAACAATGGGACAGGAAACGGGGGAGGGGTACACCTTCCTATACACAATCTATACACAGTCTAATAGAAGTCCATACACGGTGCTTAAAGGGCCAGTAGCCACATAATAAAAATCCATCATGCCCAAATACCCCCAGGGCCATAGTCACATGGCAGGAGGCGGGCAAGCAAGCCCCTCCAAAAGCTCATGGCAAACTCTCTTAAAGGGTTGAGTTTGCTACATATCTCCCTTTTCCCATTGAGACTATCCAGACTCCAGACCTCCCAATGGTCTGGTGCTCTGATAGTCTGCCGGCCTTTCTCAAAAGGTGTAGTTGTCCAGATGGCCTCCTGCCACCTGTGCCCAGTTGTAGATCCCGGGTCTTGTGGAAAAACAACCAGGATGCCTTCTCCCCTGGTTGGACAAAGCTTTTGCTGGGGATGGCGGATGCAGTTCCCCTCCTCTAGACCTGGTGGGTCGAGGTCCGCAAAACTTTGCTCTGTGGTCCTCGGTGCCCTTGATGTAGATGGTGTGCCATCAGGATCTAAGGCAAAAGGGAAGAGAGGGCAGAAGCAGCCTGCTTTCTGACCGGTTGCCAGCTTTTCTTCCTGCAACACTCTCCCTTGTTGTAGGGGAGAACCGACTGTTTCCCCTTCCAATAAATGGTCCCGCTGTTGGGAAGGGGAAACAGCCTTCTCCCCTTCCAATAACATGCTCAGCCACTCCAACATCACACTTGGTTGCTGGAGGGGGGGGCAGACTGTCTCCCCCTTGGCTAAATGGTCCTGCTGTCGGGAAACAGGACACCCCCGGTGGTGCAGGTGCAGAGACTACAGTCCCATCTGTACTGTTGTGGGGCTTATTGTCTCCCCTTGGTGGGCTATGCTGCCGCTGATAAGGGAGGACGCTGCTCTCCCCTCCCAGTGAAACACACTGCCGCTTGGGATCTGGGTCAACCGTCGTAATGTTAGCCAGTAGCATATCTGGCGGTAAGCCTTTGCCGTGGTTGGTGAAGTTAAACAGCTTCGTCAGGTATGGTTCTAGAAGATCCCCAAAGACCTGGTAATATTTGCTTGTAAGGCCGTCCGGCCCCGGCGCTTTGTCGGCAGTCCCGAAATCGTCTTAAGTATCTCTGCATCCGATAAAGGTGCTGTCAGTGATCCTGCTTGGTCATTGGTCAATTTGGGGAGGGATACCAGTGTCAGGAATTCTTGGAACTGTTCCTTAGATGGTGTCATGTTTGGTTGGTCAGTCTGTATGTTTTATAGTGCCTTGTAGAATGTCGCAAAAGTCTCGCTGATGTCTTGAGGTTTGCGTACTATTTTCATATTTGTACGTATGTGGGTGATACGTTGTTTTGCCTGTCTGTGTTTGAGCATATTGGCCAATAACTTGCCTGCCCTATTTCCCTGGTGGAAAATCTAGATTTTAGTTTGTGTAGGTGGAGGTTCATTTTGTGTAGGTTGTCCTCCTCAATTAGGGATTTTAGTGCCTGTATCTTTTTAGCCAGCTCTCTGGATGCTTTTCGTTTGTTTTGTTTGGTTAGGTATTCTAATTGGAGGAGCCAGTCTTACATTTGTGATTCCCTTTGCCGTTTTTGTTATGTCGTCCTCCTTTTAAAAATGCCTCTAATCACAGACTTGTGAGCTAACCATATATTGTCTAAGGAAGTCTCCCGTGTCATTCCTAGTAAAATAGTCTTGTAGTTCTACCCTAGCATTCTTAACAAAGTCTACATCTTGGAGTAGTGATTCATCAACCTCCAGTATCCTTTCCCTTTGTAGGTGTAAGCATCTCTTATGTGTAGAAAGACTAGCGCCTGAACCCCTGATCTGATCTGGGTGTCCTATCACGCATTTGTCTATTTGAGTCAGGTCCGTAGGCGAGATGTAAAAGAGATCCAATCTCGTGTAAGAGTTGTGGACCGCTGAGTGGGAAGTATAATCTCTTTCGTTATCATGTAATGTGCGCCACATAAGTTGTGAAACTGAATACGGGACCATAAAGATTTGCAGGAGCCCTGTAGCGTCTTCAGTCTTGGTTTTGTGAACTGAGCTGAAGAATCCAGGCCTGGTTCCATCCTGTCTATTTATTACATAGCACCTCCAAAAAATGAGCCTGATTGGAATTTGGGAAGTAGGCTTTCGTTATAGTATAGGTAATGGTAATTTTATTTACAATGCAGACTAGTATTGGATCTGAGAGTTTGCGCAGGAGAGTAAATGCTATGTTATCGTTGACCAAAATGCATAGCCCTCTTGCCTTCGTGTGGGCCGGGGACTTATATTGCCTGATATATTGTTTTGAGTATAAGGATTGCGGTGGCTGTTTGTTAAAGTAGGTCACTGCCATTTGGACAAATCTTTGTATAGGTTAAGTTTGTGTTGGGTATTCAATGCCTTAACGTTGTGTGTGACTATTTTCATAAATCAGATCTCGGGTGTATGTGCTTGTGAGTGTCTGTTCTGGCCTTATCAGAAGTGCTGGTAGTGGGGGAGTGGGAGGGTAGTGGAGGGAAGGGTACATAACCATAAAACATTATATACAAAAACAAATTATTTACAAACAAAACAGCCCATATCCTATCTCCCAAGGGGGTGGAGATGCCATCAACTGGGCCATGGCAACTCCCTGGGGTCGTGGTAATTGTGAACCATTCCAGTGTGTTTAAGTAGTCAGCCCACTGGCTATGGCACTATTCGCTGACTGCATATAATGCTTAGGTCCCATTAACTGCCTGATAACCAACTAGCCCATATATTCGGTGCCTAGTCTCTTGCCGCTATACAAACAAAATTTCCCTTTTTGTTTTTGTGAGAATCAGTGACAACTTTAAGCGTAACATCTCCAAGGTGTGGGTCTCCTAGTATGAGTCCCAGGCCTGTGATAGCCACTTGGAATAATAAGGGAAGAGTGCCTCTATTATGGCTTCTTGCCTATAGAAGTAAAAATATCAGCTCCGCCTTACATGCTAGTAACAGAACTAACAAGTATAGACATGCGGGACAACTCTACGTTACCCAAAGGGGTCGCCCCATTCGGGCTGTAACAGCACGTGCTTCAGAGAATCAGTTCCTTTACTGGACCTTTTGCCATTCAGGGGACAGTCTCCTTGGGCGGGATGCGAGTGGTTTTTAAGGGGGCTGAATAGGTATGTCCCAGTCCTGTAAGATCTAACGTCCTTCTTCCACCATCTTGATCGTGTGTAAGGTTTTTCATTACAAGTAGTTTGGTTGGGAATCCCCATCTGTACGGCACGTTTTGAGCCCAAAGAGATTATGTGATTTGCGAGAGTTACCTTCTTTGGAACAGTGTGGCCGGGGAAAGGTCTGCATAGAGTTGTAGAGCTTTGTATTCCGCTAGCGGTCCATTCTTGTGGCTGGCTTTCATGATTTGATCTTCAATGTGGAAGTAATGGATTCGCATAAGCACATCCGTATGTGTTTCTGCCTCCCCACCCTGTGAATGCGATCTATGATGAGGAAGAAGGTTGTAACGTAATGGAGCAATTGCCTGGTTTCTATGGACTCTGATATGACCCTTATGCACACATTGTTCCTCCTGGAACGATCCTCAAGGCCAGTCAGCTTGTCTTCAGAGGTTTTCAGTCTGTGTTCTATGTGTTGCATTGCATCAACCATGCTATTGTGGGCCTCCGCATGCTCTGCCAGTTTATTCTCTGTGTGATGTGTGCTCACCCAGATCAGCCACATCTTTGGTGAGAGTCGCCACGGTCTCTCGGAATTGATGCATCATTAAGTGCTTCCAGCAAGGATTTCATCTTCATTTCTGTGATCAGACCATCACCTCCCGTCGGAGCTTCGTATTCCAGGTCTGAGAGCGGAGCCTCAGTCCCCACTTCGGCGCCATCTTGTTCACTGTTAGGCGGTCTTTTGGACCTGCAGGCTGTTTGTGTGAAGAAGGCAGCCTTGTCTGCTTTTGTTTTATTTTTCAACGCCATCTGTCCCAGCAGCTTGTTAACTCACGGTAGAAGGCTTGAGTACCTTGCTATTCCGCAGTTTTAGTCCCTATTACCGTCATGTTATGCCGATCGCGTAGGAGCACAAGATTTATGCGACCATTCCCGTTGGCTGTTGGCCACGCCCACCGTTCCTATACCTTTGTTGTTTTTTTTCCCAATTTGCCAATTTTTATTGGTTTGCATAATGTGAGGAGTACAGCATGGAAGAAGGAAAAAAGGGGGGAGGGGAGAATTAATTTAATCAGTATAAAATTTAGGCTCGTACAGAATAGGCAATGAATACAGATATAATATACATGTCATTCACATAAGGACATTGTCTCGTCATCAGGTTTCACAGTTCATCCAGCACTCTAAACAGGCGCATCGTATGCCTGGTACAGACCTATAGGAGGTAGGGCCTTCATATCCCTCACTTCACGTTGACATTTAATTGTCATGATAGTTCATTTGGTAGGCGATCTCCACGAGTACCACATACCCCATGCTTTACGGGAGGTTTGATTGGGAGGGAATTGTGTTTTCAAGTCCTGCTCATATGAGCTCTGTGTATCCAGGTCAGTGAGTAAGCGCTGAGACACAGGGGGCCTTTTTTCCCCCAGTTTTTTTAGGAATTACCCTCTGTGCTGTCAGCACAATGTGTAGTAGCAATTTTAGTGTGGCCCTAGGTTAGCCCACCAGTAGGTCAATTAGTAACAGCTGTAGGGGTGCTAGTGGGATGGAGCACCCAGTTGTTGCCTGTGCAACGCTATGTACACCTGCCCAGAAGGTTTGAATGCGTGTGTGACGAGACCAATCTCGCCGCATTGCATTGGAGAAGCCTGGTTGCTCACCTGTTGCCTTTGGATTATGGCCCCATGTTAAAAGGCTTGATTTTCCCCTGCAAAGACATGAAAGCCGGGTCATTCGGTGCTTGCCCTGTTTGAGCGGTGATACCCCAGATAGCTATGCCATGGTGCCCATTCGTATAATGAAAGACTATAGGAAAGACTTTGGCTCCATGGCAATTGAACTGTATGTGTGTGCTCTGAGCGCCATTCAATAATAATGTGCGCTCAGATCTGAGCTATCTGGGGATATGTTGAATGTACCTGTTTTGTGCAATGGCTGCACAGTTATATGTTTTTATGTGTTTTATTGTCTTTTGCTGCCATGTGTTCAATTGAGTTTTGCCTCTGTCCTTGGAGATAATTGGATTACTTCACAATTATCTCCAGGATAGAAGACTCTGTGGAACTGGTTTTGGGCAGAAAAGCCACACTTCCTTTGGTCACAAAGGACTACGATCTATCTTTTGAACCACTGGACCAATTTGGAGGATTTTGACATATGTTTGTATTTGGAGTATGCTGATTCTGAAAATGTAAATGTGATGCATACTTTTCAAGTTATGGATAATGTGGAAAAATTGTATTTCTCTGCTTGTTATAATTACATTACCCATTGTGTAAGGTAATTTTATCACAGGCAGAGGGGAGGATTTTGTGTGGGAGTGTCGGAGTGTATTGTATGTGTTTATTGGTTGTGTTCCAAAACCCTGTGGGTGGTACTAATGTGTAAGAATGTGTACATAAGCACAATAAACCCACAGCTGTGACTGTTCTTGCTTGACCCTCAAAACAGAGCCTTGTCTCGTTCTTGGGGGGATTTATTGTATGCTGTTCCAGTTTGGCTGCTAGGAGTGTAAACCTATTCGTATGGTTTTTCCTATTCTGCTGTTTACAGCATTCATATGGTTTCCTGTTCGGCGGATTGGTGTTCTGCAGTAGCTGTGCCTGTGTCTCTGGAGGGGAAGATCTAGTAAACAGCGCTTTAACCCTTTTATACTGTGGGTGCCGTTACAATTGGTGGCAAGCGGCAGGATCGTTCCTACAGCCAGAAGGACAGCTACAGGAGACACCATTTCTTTGGATTTTACAAATTGAGGGCAACGCACGACCCAGTACAGCAACCCTGACAGCACCAGGATGGAACCAGCAGTGGAGTACGATGAGGGTGTCATGGATGACCGAGATGCAGTTCGCAAAGGCATCTGGTACCAGGCACTGGGTATTGTGGAGTACCAGCGGTGCGAGAGACTCCCCAAGGAAGACCAGCGATTGCAGAAGCGACTAGCCCTGCTAATGCCCTTCCTGGGAGAGCAGCCCCTGGATGAATGGGTGAAGGAATTGGAGCTCCGGGTATGGCAGGAGATGTGGCCGGAAGATGCCTACCAGGCGCTCTGGTGGTATGGGGCACAGTACCTGCCCTGGACAGCCGAGCATGACAAGCCAGAGGGAGAGGAGTTTGATGGTCCTGGCTTGTTATGGGAGGCTTTTTCAGAGCCTGAGTTTGGGAGCCCTACACAAGCCCGGTTCAGTGATGTCTTGGAGTGGAGGGAGAGCAGATATGACTGGGACGACACTCATGAGATCGAGCAAGACCTGGTCCACCTAGTGACCCGAGAGATGGAGCTGGAGCAGGGCTACCAAGATCTGTTCCACTCCAGTGAGAAGGCTCAGCAGGGAAGCAGAGACCCAGATCCAGACCTATTCAGCTGGGTAGATATTGCAGAGTATTATTGAGAAGAACCCCAGGTGGTTGGTGGAGATGGGACCGAGGTTTCTCCACCTGTCCTGCAGGGAATTGGGAGCCCAGGCTCCATTCCCCAGCGGCAGGCTGAGTTACAGGGGACAGAGACAGTTGGTCCTGTCCCCCAGCGGCAGTGTACCTTGCAGGGAGAGGAGAGCAGCGTCCCCCCTCCCCAGTGGCAGGGTGAGCTACAGGGATGCTGGGCGGTCAGCTCAGATCCCCAGCGGCAGAGTAAATTGCAGGGAATTGGGAGCCCAGGCTCCATACCCCAGCGGCAGGCTGTGTTACAGGGGGCAGAGACAGTTGGTCCTGTCCCCCAGCGGCAGTGTACCTTGCAGGGAGAGGAGAGCAGCGTCCTCCCTCCCCAGTGGCAGGGTGAGCTACAGGGATGCTGGGCAGTCGGCTCAGATCCCCAGCTGCAGTGTGAATTACAGGGAATTGGGAGCCCAGTTTCCTTTCCCCAGCGGGAGATACAGCAGGGAATTGGGAGCCCAGTCTCCATTCCCCAGCTGTACTGGGAGCAGAGACAGTCGGTCTCCCTCCCCCGCGGCTGGAAGTATATATGGGAGAGGAGCTGGTTACCCCCTCTCCCCAGCGGCAGCTTAACATATCAGGGTGAGACAGTAAGGCCCACAACCGTGCAGATGGGACCATGGTCTCTGCACGTACAGCACAGGGGGTAGGGACGGTCGGTTCTGCCCCCCAGCGACAGGGCTGTTTAGCCAAAGGGGAGACAATCAGATACCCTGTTAGTCTGTTTGGAAAAGGGGAGACATGTGACAAGACCAATCTCGCCACATTGCATTGGAGAAGCCTGGTTGCTCGCCTGTTGCCTTTGGATTATGGCCCTATGTTAAAAGGCTTGATTTTCCCCTGCAAAGACATGAAAGCCGGGTCATTTGGTGCTTGCCCTGTTTGAGCGGTGATACCCCAGATAGCTATGCCATGGAGCCCATTCGTATAATGAAAGACTATGGGAAAGACTTTGGCTCCATGGCAATTGAACTGTATGTGTTCAGTAATAATGTGCGCTTAGACCTAAGCTAGTTTTGCCTCTGTCTTTGGAGATAATTGGATTACTTCTAATTATCTCCAGGATAGAAGACTCTGTGGAACTGGTTTTGGGCAGAAAAGCCATGCTTCCTTTGGTCACAAAGGACTACGATCTATCTTTTGAACCACTGGACCAATTTGGATGATTTTGACATATGTTTGTATTTGGAGTATGCTGATTCTGAAAATGTAAGTATTATGTGAATGTGATGCATACTTTTCAAGTTATGAATAATGTGGAAAAATTGTATTTCTCTGCTTGTGATAATTACATTACCCATTGTGTAAGGTAATTGTATCACAGGCAGAGGGGAGGATTTTGTGTGGGAGTGTCTGAGTGTATTGTATGTGTTTATTGGTTGTGTTCCAAAACCCTGTGGGTGGTACTAATGTGTAAGAATGTGTACATAAGCACAATAAACCCACAGCTCTGTCTGTTCACTGCTTGACCCTCAACACGGAGCTTTGTCTCTCGTTCTTGAGGGGATTTATTGTATGCTGTTCCAGTTCGACTGCTAGGAGTGTAAACCTATTCGTATGGTTTTTCCTATTCGGCTGTTTACAGCATTCGTATGGTTTCCTGTTCGGCGGATTGGTGTTCTGCAGTAGCTGTGCCTGCATCTCTGGAAGGGGACGATCGCCTAAACGGTTTTAACCCCTTGTGTGCTGAAATGGTCCGTTACAGCTATGCCATGGAGCCCATTCGTATAATCTAGGAAAGACTTTGGCTCCATGGCAATTGAACTGTATGTGTGTGCTCTGAGCACCATTCAGTAATAATGTGCGCTCAGATCTGAGCTATCTGGGGATATGTTGAATGTACCTGTTTTGTGCAATGGCTGCACAGTTATATGTTTTTATGTGTTTTATTGTCTTTTGCTGCCATGTGTTCAATGGAGTTTTGCCTCTGTCTTTGGAGATAATTGGATTACTTCCCAATTATATCCATCATAGAAGACTCTGTAGAACTGGTTTTGGGCAGAAAAGCCATGCTTCCTTTGGTCACAAAGGACTACGATCTATCTTTTGAACCACTGGACCAATTTGGAGGATTTTGACATATGTTTGTATTTGGAGTATGCTGATTCTGAAAATGTAAATGTGATGCATATTTTTCAAGTTATGAATAATGTGGAAAAATTGTATTTCTCTGCTTGTGCTAAATTACATTACCCATTGTGTAAGGTAATTGAATCACAGGCAGAGGGGAGGAATTTGTGTGGGAGTGTCTGAGTGTATTGTATGTGTTTATTGGTTGTGTTCCAAAACCCTGTGGGGGGTACTAATGTGTAAGAATGTGTACATAAGCACAATAAACCCACAGCTCTGGCTGTTCACTGCTTGACCCTCAACACGGAGCTTTGTCTCGTTCTTGGGGGGATTTATTGTATGCTGTTCCAGTTCGACTGCTAGGAGTGTAAACCTATTCGTATGGTTTTTCCTATTCGGCTGTTTACGGCATTCATATGGTTTCCTGTTCTGCGGATTGGTGTTGTGCAGTAGCTGTGAGTGTGTCTCTGGAAGGGAAGATCTACTAAACGGCGGTTTAACCCTTGTATTCCTGGGGGTGCCGTTACAAGTACCAAATCCAATCAGAGATTGAAGGAAGGCAGGCAGTGACACAATGCAGGACCGTCGGGGAAAGATCAGAAGAGGTATATCTGGGTGTCGTCGGCATACAGCTGGTAGTGGAATCCAAATGGGTAGTTAATCAGTTGTTAGGCAACTGAAAGTGCAACAAAAGGAGGTGTCTGGGAAAGGAGCACTGAATAGACATTTCTGAGAGTTTTGAACAGAAATGAGTACATGACAGATTTAAGGGAGATTGGGAGACAGTTTCACAGCTGTAGGCAGAGAGAGAGAAGAATATATTTTTATGCAGTGGGCATTGTGGATTTGTGATTACATCATTTTAATAATAGAGTCTGACCAAGAGTGGATTGCAATTGGAGGCACGAGAGGGATGTTGGAATACATCGTAGCAGCCTAGCAGCCCTATAGTTAAAGACCCAAGTTTTTGGCAGGGTGAAGCCGCCATCCAGAACTGGGTGAGCATTTTGTCACAATAAGGAGTCCAGTCGGGTACCCGGGGTCCTACTCAATCACCAATCATTCGAACGGCACTCCCAAACTCAACGAGAATCTGAATGATATTTCGTCAAAGTGTGGGGTTCTGGCGTTAGTAAAATGTATTTTTGGGATGTTTTAAAATATTGTAGATTTTTCTGTAGCTAATAGATAATTAAGTTCCAGTTTTTTTCTCACACACTTATGTCTCAGGCACAGAGGATCCTGGAAAGAAAAGCCCTGTAATTGTGGCTGAGAAAGCCATGTATGGCAGGAATAAAAGCAGTTGTACTCACAGAACTGTGTGTCGTCCAGTACTGGGGAGGAAGTGGGATATTTCTTTGGCATTTTTCTTGTTCTGGATTATACTCTAGAGGATCCAGCAGGGAAAAGTCCCTGCTAGGACAATAGCTCCGCTACAGTGACCTCTCCCCGGTGGCAATTTATCTAACTTTGTGAGTCCGCATGTTTTTGGGAGACAGGACAGACTGCTAATACCCCTTTCCATGTTGCACTATAAGGCTACAAGAACCAGTGAGGATAACAAACCCCAGCAGTTGATGCTAACACCAAAACTATGACTACACTTTCTCTAGCTTGGCACATGGCAGAAACGGAGATGGTAGTGAGCGGATCTGAAACAGGGGACTAGATTCCTTGTTTCATCCCTGAATCCCTTGTGTGGTTGGGATGAGGACGTGGGATGTGCTTTTTTCTCTCCATGCTGCTGACCCTTCTGGTCTCTGTTTTGAATCTCAGCTGGAGTGAAAGCAGCACACTGGTGCAGTTCAGATAGAGATGCTAGGACTATCACTCTCTTACCAAAGTTCCGTATCTCTAATACAGTGCTGCTTCCCGGTCTTAATTCAATAAGAGGACCAGAGGGAGAGCAGCATGGAGGCCTGTAGCCTGGAAGTGCTTGTCAAGCTCTGCAAGAGTTAACTGGCTGCTGCCCACCTTCCACCCATGAGCAAAGCACAACCAAGCAAGCAAGCAATATTAAAAAAACAAAGAGTGTGCGCGCGCTGGCTGCCCGTGAATTGCCCTCTTCTATATTCGTAGATTCCCCATTATAAAATGTGTGTTTCCCCATGTAGTTTTATTTTAACTGTGTAATATGCCTTTTCTATGCACAGTTCCACTACGGTATTTATCGTTATCTCCTGTATCCTCACATCGAGTAATGATCAAATTGCGGCAATTTAAGTAATAGACCTAGGTAATTTCCTGTAAACTAAGTAATCCATAATTGTGGTTTAATCCTTTCAATGCCACCAACATTTCTCTGCAATGAGAAGACATTTTCGGCAGATAAAGTGTTAAACCAACTAAATAAAGTAGTTTTTTCCTTTTTCTCTTGGCAGCTATTTTAATATATCAGGAGGTGAGGTTTCTGTAAAGAGGAATGGGGTCAAATTATGGGGGTGGAGTGTGGCACCCTAACATTATAAAACTTCATTCTCCATCACGGCAGACAATTCACAAAAAATTATATATTTTTATTGAAAAGGTATTGAATTACTTGAATCAGCAGAAGACAAAATATTTATATGATATGCTCTTCGTCAGCCAAAATGCATTCCATATAAACCAGAAACCAATTGGCCAGCACGTGTCCATTTCACTTCCATCCTCTCACTTCACTGGCTGCGTGGTTCCAATCTTGGACACATTGAGATCAGAATGCTCTGGGTTCCTCAATTGTAACACAAAGGTGGTATCTTCAACGTTCAAACCCTAGGAAATCGGGAAAGCAATGTCTGTGGTGGGGGTGGTGGTGAAAGGTGGTAAAGAGCAAGGAAGAGGGGAACACATAGAAAGACTAATCCCGCAGAATGCCAGCACTAACCTGCAATGCTCTGAATGCTCTCTCAGCATCTTGCTTGGCAGTAAAATTGATAAAAGCACAGGTTCGGCTATATAAAATACGCATTGAATGGATTGGACCAAACCTGTGAAGAGGACATTAATAGAGAAAAGAGATAAATTAAAAAAGGAAAAAGGAAAAAAAATGGTAAAATCGAGAAAGTAAATAATCTGAAAGCAATATCAACAGGCAAGCCAGACAATGAAGGGAAGGCAGAGTTGAAAGGGGCAAATGACAACAGGGTGGACAGGCAGGAGGGGAGAAGGACAGAGAGAACGGCAGAGAGAAGAAGAGAAGGACAGAGAGGAGGGGAGAAGGACAGAGAGGAGGGGAGAAGGACAGAGAGGAGAGGAGAAGGTTAAAAGGACAGAGATGGCGGAGAGGAGGGGAAAAGGACAGAGATGGCGGAGAGGAGGGGAAAAGGACAGAGAGGGGGGAGGGGAAAAGGACAGAGGGGAGGGAAAAAGGGAGGGGGAAAAGACAGTGGGAAGGGGAAAAAAGCAGTGGGGAGGGGAAAAGGACAGAGAGGAGGGAAGGGGAAAAGGACAGAGAGGAGGGAAGGGGAAAAGGACAGAGGGGAGGGGAAAAGGACCGTGGGGAGGAGAAAAGGAAAAGGACAGAAAGGAGGGAAGGGGAAAAGGACAGAGAGGAGGGAAGGGGAAAAGGACAGAGAGGAGGGAAGGGGAAAAGGACAGAGAGAAGAAGAGGGAAAAAGGACCGTGGGGAGGGGAAAAGGACCGTGGGGAGGGGAAAAGGACAGAGAAGAGGGAAGGGGAAAAGGACAGAGAGGAGGGAAGGGGAAAAGAGGGAAGGGTGGAGAAAAGGACCGTGGGGAGGAGAAAAGGAAAAGGACAGAAAGGAGGAGAAAGGGAAAAGGACAGAAAGGAGGGAGGGGGAAAGGGACAGAGAGGAGGGAAGGGGAAAAGGACAGAGAGGAGGGAAGGGGAAAAAGACAGAGAGGAGGGAAGGGGAAAGGGACAGAGAGAAGAAGAGAAGGATATATAGCTGGAGAACTCAATAGAGACGTATCAAGAGTAGCAAGAAGCAACATGGATTGGTGAAGATAGAGAGAGGACAGAAAAACAGGCATGGTCAAGAAGAGTCTGCCCTGAGAGGTCAAACATCAGCAGTTAAAGATTGAAAAAAATGTTGAGAACAAAAAAACAACTCACTGTTCAAATTTTCCTCTTAAAATATTCTCTGTTATTTTATTTGTGACATTACCAACCCAGACAGGGTAAAGCTTACTGCCGAAAAAAAAAACAAAAAAAAAAAACATTATCAAATGTACAAATAGTTGCTGCAACAGTAAAAACTATATATACACTGTATATACACGAGTATAAGTCGACCCGAATATAAGTCGAGGCCCCTAATTTTACCCCAAAAAACTGGGAAAAACTTATTGACTTGAGTATAAGACTAGGGTGGGAAATGCAGCAGCTACTGGTAAATTTCTAAATAAAATTAGATCCCCAAAAAATTATATTAATTGAATATTTATTTTGTCTATATAATGAATGCAGTGTGTGTCTCTAGTGTGTGTATATAATGAATGCAGTGTGTGTGTGTGTGTAGTGTGTGTATATAATGAATGCAAAGTGTGTGCATAGTCTGTGTATATAATGAATGCAGAGTGTGTGTGTATGAATGCAGTGTGTGTGTGTGTGTGTGTGTGTATCCAGGTGGACATGGGCAGTGGGTATATAGTGAACGTTCCCTCCGGCCACTCGAACGGCAACAGTACCCTGTCTTTTCTTCCACAGGGACAAGCTGGGGTCGCACCAGAGCTAGAGTGACTCCCGTGTCTTGTAATCCTTGGACCTTGTGCCCGTTAAGCCGCACTGCCTGTCTCTGTAGTGGTCCTGGTTATCATGTGCAGCCTGAGCGGGTTTTGACTCATGTAGAACGGTCCAGGCTTCGTCATTGGGGCACGGAAACTCTGCGGGGTCATCGTGGTAGCAGACAGCTGCTGCTTGTGGGTTGGCAGGGACTACGGGGGTGACCTACTGCGTTTTGGTGGCAGTTGACTTTGACGTGGCCCAGTTTGAGGCATTGGGGGGTGCTCGGACCAGGGGTCCACGAAGGGGAGCCGCAGAAACTGGGCTGCGTTGGAGCAGAGGCTGGGCGGGTGGTCGGTAGCTGGGAGAGGGAACAGGGCGATGGGACCGGCAAGTATCAGCATATTCATCAGCCCATTTGGCTACTTTGGTGATGGTTTTGGGCTGCCGGTCTCTTACCCATTCCTGCATCTCTGTGGGGAGCCCATTGTAGAAATACTTGAGCATGAAAGCTTGTATCTCTTCGGGGGATTTGGCTTGTTGGGAGGCCATCCAGTTGTGGGTGGTTCAGATGATATGGCATGCCCTCTCCGCATGGGAGTC